AAAAAAATTGGACAATGTCAGTAAGACAATCATGGTGGCTGGCTATAATTGTTAGCGTTTAGCATCAACTGTCAAGTAGAGCATTGAAGTACTTTAGATCTCCAAGTGCTAGCCCAACTCAAGTTTCAGGTATCTTTCATGTGAAAGATGAAGGTCTATTTATCGTACTTTTAGAATGAGGATTTTGATAAATTTAACTAAAATTTCATACCACCCTATCAAACGACTTATATTGAATTCTTTGAGTAGAAAATATTTATTTAGCATTTTTTTTTTTTTGGATAAAACCCGTGGAGAGGCCTACGCATTGAAAAAAAAAAAGGAGTAACAAGTCCTAAAGATCCATAAGCTCATCTAAAAATACAGCCTTTAAAATAAACTTAAGAATTATTGGATATACTAATTACAATTAAAAAAAGAGAATAAACAAAAAAACCAAAACCAACCCAAGGACCGAACCAACCAAAAGGGCAACAACCTGCATCCAACAATTCCAAGGAGATTCACTGCAAGCAGGAAAACCACTATAAGCCCAACAGTCAAAATGTCATCCAAATCCAAATGGCACCACAACAGCAACCTGCACTTCCACACAACCCAAAACCCCAAGGCCCAAAGCAACAGCAACAAAGTACTTTAATAGTCTCATAATCTAGTGATCTTAAGTTTATTGGATTCATTCATTGAGCTGCTCATTTTGACTATACTCGCATAAGATTAAGAGATTGATTGATCCTCTAATTAAAGTTCCAAAAAATTTTATTACATTTTATGTGCTTAATTTAAGCTCATTTGAACTCGGAACGAATCATCTTTGATGTTATTGGGTTCTTGTCAAGACCCTCCATAAACCTATAAGTTAGCTAAAATAGGATTGTGAATGATTCTGCATTTACTTTAAAAATTTTAATATAAATAATGGAATTTTATATTAATTAAAGTCATCCTCCTTCGCTTCTTAACAACTTCTCTATCCTAATTACATGTATTGTTACATGGCTAAATCACATTTTTAAAACCCCCAACTTATTCTTTTTTTATCAAAACAAAAATTCACAGGAATGATGTTTGAGTCCTCCATCTATCCAAAATATTAGAAGACATTACAATGCAAAAATTTAAGCATTTCTTAAATGTCAAATTAGAAGATAAAAAATGTAACACATTAGGGATATTTTAGATTTAACTGAACTGAAGCTGAAACAATAAAACTATAATTCCAACAAATTGAAACATATTAAATATGAGTACTAAATATATAACACAATAAAAGATTTTCAGTGAACATCTCAAACATGAATTTAATAAATAATAACTGCACACCATTAAGATATTGCTTCAACTTCAATATTCATCTATCATTACCGTAGCTTCTCACATAATAAATTAAAAATCAATAATGATAATTGATAGATGATGCTTGTAGTATGCCAATGCATAGTGCAGACAACCACTTAGCCAGACAACAGAGTAGCAGGCAACATGTGTAAAGCCATAAAGAAAATAATCGAACAACTATCAACTGTGTCAACTAACAATAACTTAGAACTACATAATTTAAAAAAAATAACAAAGCCCTAAAAAATCATAATGAAAATGGAAAAAAAAAAATGAAGCCCTAACTACACTACAAAAAGGTCAAAATCGAGACCAATTTTCTTTTGCAAGTGAGATAAACAAAATATTAGACTAAATAACCATACAAAAACTTCATCATGGTAAGCAAATGAAAAAACCCTAAACTCAAAAACCCTGGCAAATAATGATATCCACAAAATAGTGGAGCCCACGATGGTTTCTCTTCCGTTCCCTCTGGAGTGTGCTAGGGCTTCGCCCTAGTAGCCTCTCGCTGCTCTATCTCGCACCTGGATGTGTCATTTTGCTCTGCCTCTCTCGTCTGGCGGTGCTCCTCACGTGCTTCAAGGAAGTTCCTTCTTCTCTTATTTTCTGGTTTCGCTGTTGTTTGTTGTATGTTCGAATTTATGACACCTCCCCATTTTAGAGATCCTAATTTTTTTGAATGGATCTTCCTCCCTTTCTTTTAAAGACACTTTATCTGGTGCGTCTCCTTCTTCCATCTCTTTTCTCGACCTTAAAGTTTCTTCCCATCGGGGTATGCCATCCTTGTGGATTTCAGAAGCGGAAATCCTTTCTCTTGTTGTTCCTTTTGAATTCGCTCTAGTTGGTAAATTCCCTGGCCGGAGGCCATCTCTTGATGTTATTAGGAATTTCTTCTTCAAGCTCAAACTTAATGGTGATTGTTATGTTACTGTTTTGAACCAATGGAATGTGTTGATTAAACTCTTTAACGACATGGATTACTATAGGATTTTTGCTCAACAGTCTTATTTTGTGATTGCTATATGAAATTAGTTAAATGGACTCCTTCCTTGGACATTTAGGTTGAATCATCTTTCATTCCTATTTGGATCTCTTTTCCTAATCTTTGGCCTCACCTTTTCTCTCCATGTATTATTCATGGCCTTTGCTCCATTTTTGGTAAACCCTTAAAGATCTACAAGGCGACCTTCTCTGGTTCGCGTTAGTTTATTGCTCGCATTTTGGTTGAAATGGATTTGAACAAATAATATCCTGATAAAATTTGGAATGGCCCGGATAACATAGGTTACGTGGAGTCTGTAATTTTAGAAGATTTCTCTGCGTATTGTACGCATTTCTATTCTTTGGGTCATTTGAAGGTTGATTGTTGGATTTTGCATCCACACCTTAGCTCTTCTACTTTGCCTCCGCCTACTATTAAAGTTAATAATATGTTGGGTGTAGATGGGGAAGTTGTTCGTGTGCTTCCTGGCCTTGCGGAGGTTTCGTCTGATCCTATGGTTGTGGCCCTTGTTGGCCTTGTTTGTGAGGACTCTGATGTGAATCAATTAGCTGTGGAGTTGGATATTGTTGTGTCTGTTGAGGCCAATGATTTAGTGCTTAAGGTGGATTTTAATGCTGTGTTGATTTCGGTTTCTCCTTTGAAGGGTGACGAGATTGTGGCGCCTTATCCTAATGTTGTTGAGGTTGATGAACCTCACAATTGCTTAACTAATCAGGTAGTTTGTACTAGTGATATTTATGTTCCTATTGGAGATGTCAATGAGGGTGTTATTCCTCTTTCTGTTGATTCTGGGGATGACTCTCCTACGAGTAATGGGTCAGGGGGTGATCGTTTTTTGGAGGGGCTGGATTTTTCTGAAGCTGTGTGTATTGGGGTGGAGCCTGATGATGTTAGGAGACATTTGGTGGATGTTCCTCTAACTGTTGTCTCTATTTGTGGCTTGTTGGCTCATCTTGCAATTAAGTGGTAGCGCTTTGGAGCAATGTGCTTGGTTAGATCTTAATGATGGCTTTTATTCAGACAATGGGGAGGAGACGAATGAGTTAGTTATGGGTGCTTCTTATTGTATATAATGGTTTTCTTAAAAATAATGATAAGTCTAGAAATCGTAAGGTAAAAAAGAAATGATTTTTCCTTTGGTTCTTTGCCTAGCTTTGGCTTTGTTGGTTATTTTGGATTTGCTTTAAGTGTGTCACATAATTGGTGTTTGGACATTGATGAAGCAGGTTTCCTGCATGCGCCTTAGATGACCTAGGCTTGGTGGGCAGCCTTGGTGGAGGTTTCAATTTTCGTTGGATTTCATTTTTTGGATGCTTCCTTTTATTTGTCCTTGGATGACCCATGTCTGGCAACCAGGTGGCGGTCTGAGTCCGTCCGGCTTACCCATTATCAGAATTTTGACCCTTTCGAGAATTGTAATCCTATGGCTGTACTTTTATTTTTATTGGTATGTTTTTTGTGCTTTTGTCGTTTGATGTATTTGACCTTTTTCTAATAAAAAAATGATATTCACAAAATAACCATATAAAATTGTCATGTTTCAGCTTCTAAAAGAGCAAAAAGAACCAAAAACAAAAAAGGGATAAAAACATTAATGTTTTTCTTGAGGCTGTAACGATCGAGAGGAGAGGAGAACTTGTAATTTATGAACATAGGCAATAGCAGGAGACTAAGCAATTGATAAGCTGAAGGAATTAGAAGAGGAATGTAGGATTAAGACATAACAAAATCGAGGAGAGTTCCCACAAGGGAAACCCTAAATAGATGAAGACGAAAGACATAGCGAGGGAGCAGATTGCAGATGCATCGTACATGGCCACTACTCTAATGCTAAACGAAATGAAGTATAACAACTCACTTGCTACTTATGACTTGTCCTAAACAAAACAACACAGTGTCATTTCAGGTTTGTATCGTGGTATCAGGTTGACATGAATCCGATCCGAAACTTCAAACGGATCAGAAACAGGGTCCCGAACTTGACTCGTCTTCCAAACAAGTTTACTCTAACATGAAAATTTTGGGTTGGATTTATATCGGATTTCCTAGTCACGTCAAATTTTGACACCAATACAAGCACTCAGCTTATATTATATTTTTTATCTAAACATAAACTTAAGCAAAATGTAATATGTATCGTTCATATTTAACAGTTTGATAATATTATTCTTGATAATACATTAAGATATATTTCTTTATGCTTATGTTTTGTTTTTTATTTAATAAAATATGAAATAACATTTATCATTTCTTAAAGAGTAAACAAATCTTTTAAATATTAATAAATTTTAGATGAAAAGTTCAATGCAACGTAATAATTAATATTTTTTATACAATTTTAAGGGTATATATAATCATTATTATTTTTTTTAAAAAAATTTATATTATAAAATTTTTTAAATTAAAAATTTCTGTATAAAAAGCAACAATAAAAAATAGCAAGTAAATTGTCTCAAACAAAGCCTATAATTAGCTGAGCATCATGCGAGTGAATGACGATTGGCCGCAGCACGTTCAGTAGCAATCGAGGCAGAAAAGTCAATTACTATAATACCCATCCCACGTCAGAAGTTATTGCTACGTGGGCAGATCTGTTATTAGTTGATCGGAGGGCAATTTTCGTAATATCGTGAATAATAAGTTTACTTTTGGATTGGATCACTTGGACGGTGCTCTCGGAGTTGTTCCGCATTTTTCGATATCGGCCTCTACCTGCTTTCAGTGTCGCCGGCCTCATCTCCTCCTATTTCCTGTTGATTTATTCTGCAGCGGTATCGAATTTTCAATTAATCAAGTTTGATGGGAGTTCCAGGAGCATTACTTTTTCCGGATCGGATATTTCTTGGTTTTTTTGTAGGGTTTTTTGTCCTATTTAGTTGCCCTTTGCCTTCACTAGGTTCGATCCATGAATACAAGAACGGGGCTTTCATTCCTCGCTCGAATTCCTTCTTCTTCCATGGCGGCAGCGAGGGTCTATACGCGTCGGAGGCAAGCATCAATTCCTCCTCCTCCGATGGGAAATCATTTATCCAGTAAGCCTTCTTTCTTTGTATTTTACTGGATTTGTTTTCTCTCTTTTGCTACCATGCACATTCGTCTTTAGATCCTTACAGCTTTGTTGATAGAGATTATCAATGGAACCGAACCGGGAGATCCAATTAATTCGGGCTGTTGAATCCATTCCGTTGATGTTTTTTTTTTTTTAATAAAGATGCATAGCAAATTAATGTATTGATTTACTCGTTGTTACTGTTTTTGGGGCGAGGTTTATTGTTGAGGATGACCAGCTGCTCGAGTAGAAGACGTGTATGACTCTTTTGTGCATGCTTCACTCTGCTTGTGGTGGAATCATATCACATGTGAATTGAATGTCTATTTTTGTAGGTTTTCGCAGTTAATGCTTGAATATTTATATTCATACGATTTGAGCGCTCTAGGGCATGCCCGAAATATGTTCATTAGTCTTTACAACCCAATGAAACTTCATGCCAGATATTCTAATGTACGCATGCATTTATTCTAGATAACTGGAAAAAATGTAAAAGATTGATATCGTTATGCACCCTCTTAATCTAAAGGTTCAACCTTTTTTATTTTGATAAATTGAAATCCCAAAATTTAATTCTTTTTATACGGAAAGACACTAAATGATAAATGATTAAGTCAATTAAACTCTTTACATCTCTTTGAGAAGCATTGCTAAACCTATGTTTTCCGAATGTTTTTAACAATTACTTTTTTGGTCATTGCCATTGGGCTAACTCACTAAAAAACATGGCTACATTTGTGTTGGTGTCAAAGTAGCGACCGCCAATTCCTATGTTGAACTTAGAGATTGATCACAATCCAGGCATTACCCAATTTTTATGGTGTATATTTTTATATTAGTTATCTTAAGGAAATTTACTATTTATTTGTTTTTTGTTGCTCTAGATAACTTTTTGCATGCATGCAAATTTAGTATGGGTTTGTTTACTCAGATTATTTTATTGTATATGTTCACAAACAAAGATCAATGTTTGTACTATAATTACATGCATACATTGACCCTAGAATGTATGCAACAATTATTGTATTGTAACATGTATGTATCTTAATTTTTCAATATTTCTTTTATCCTTGTGTCGCTAGATCATTTCACATTTTGCTATCATTTCTATCTTTATGGTGAGTAGTATCAATAATTTGTTTATAATATGTTAACACTTTATAGTCTTTTGAATAATTCAACCTTTGATATGGAAAAAGTTGAGCAATTGATGAAATCAATTTTTCTTGATTATGAAGGGTCGGGAATAAGATGATTTGTTATAAAAATTGGTTTAAATGTAAAAATTCTAATAATTGGAAAATATATAAAGAGGTTTGTAAGGAGTCTAAGAAAGCAATGCGATCCAAAGATTTTTGTTTTTAATGATTTATATAATATATTAGATACTAAGGAGGGAGATATGTATGTGTATATATATATATATATAAGTTAGCCAAACAAATAGATAAGAGTAGTAAGGATTTAGTTCAATGAAGTGTATTAAGGATGAAGATCAAAAAGTCCTTTTATTAGAAAAGGATATTCAACAAAGGTGGATGAGATATTTTTTAAAATCTTTCAATAAAGATTTGAGAATGTGATTGACTTTAGTGACCTTAGCACCTAAATGAAAATAAGATTTTTATTTTTATCGGCGTATTAGTAAAATCAAAGTTAGTGAGGCTTTAAAGAAAATGAAGTGTGGAAAAGCTGTTGAATATGATGATATTCAAATAGAGGTATGTAAATGCTTAGGAGATGAAGGAATTTTTTGGCTTACTAAACTTTTTAATATTATTTTAAAGACTAAAAAGATGTCAGATGAGTGGTGAATAAGTGTGTTGATTCATATTTAAGAATAAAGGTGATGTACTAGATTGTGCGAATTATAGAGAAATTAAGTTAATGTGTTATGTGTCTAACTTTAAAACTATGGGAAAGAATTATCGATCATAGGTTGCAGCGTGATACTAATGTTTCTCAAAATCAATTTGGATTCATGTTGGGTAGGTCTACTATGGAAGCTATACATTTATTGAGATGTTTGATGGAGAAGCATAGAGAAAATAAGGAGGATCTTCATATGATATTTATTGATTTTGAGAAAGCATGTGATAAAGTCCCAAGAGAAGTGTTATAGAGAATTCTAGAAAAGAAAGAGGTTAATAATGCTTATATTCAAGTCATTAAAGATATGTATGCAGGAGCTATTACTTCTTCTTAAACACAAGGTGGTTTGACCGAGTATTTTGCTATTTCAATTGGATTACATCAAATATCAACCATAAGCTCATATCTTTTTTGCTTTAGTCATGGATGTTCTCACTAGACATTTGCAAGAGGTTATACCTTGGTATATTCTTTTTGTTGATGATATTATTCCTGTTGATAAGAGTAGAGAGGGAGTTGAACATAAACTTGAAATATGGAGGTCAACCATATAGTTAAAGGCTTTCGTTTGAGTAGATCTAAAACTGAATATATGGAGTGTAATTTTAGTAATAATAGTTCTAGTGGGGGATTGTGACTTTGGGTGATCAAGTCATTAATAAGAATATATGTTTTAGATATATTAGGTCTATTATTCAAAGTGTGGTGAAATAGATGAGGATATTATTAGTAGAATTCAAGTTGGCTGGTTGAAGTGGAAGAATGCATCAGGCTTGTTATGTGATAGAAAAGTCCCCTCAACTTAAGGGAAAATTCTATAAGATGGTGGTTAAACCTGCAACGCTTTATGGTGCAGAATGTTGGCAATTAAAAGAGAAACATAATACTAAGTTAAGTGTTGCAGAGATGAGGATGCTCAGGTGGATGAGTGACTTTACTCTTAGAGACAGGATACAAAATGAGCATATACATGAAAAGGTTGGAGTAGCTCCAGTGGAAGATAATATTAGAGAGAGAGTCGCCTTAGATAGTTTGGTCAAATAAAATGGCGGCCTTTCGATGACCTGATTAGGAACATAGATGTATTAGATTTGACTTATGTTAATAAAGGCAGAGGTAGACCTAAATGACCTAGTTAGAAAATATTAGAAATAACCTTTCTTTATTAATGAGAATTTAACTTTTAACTATGCACAATGGAGAAAAAGGAGTCATGTAGCCGACCCTACATATTGGGATAAGTGCTTGATATTGTTGTTATTGTTATGAAGGGTCGGGAAATATTTGCATGATGGATAGTTTATGGTTTGTTTTTTTTTTTTAAATTTCCTAACTTAGATTGAGATTTCCTTCCTAAAATTTAATTGTGACAACTATGGCCATCTATTTTTAGTGTTCTTTTTGAGTTTTATTGTAAGGAGAACACAAGCGTCACTGAGAGTAAGTGTGTTGATACAACAAAGCGAAACACAAAAATAATAAAAAAACACAAAACAAAGATGCTAAGGCACCAAAGTTTATGCTATTCAACTTGATAAAGCCTACATCCATGTGAGAGGGGAGAGCTTTGATCCACCATTAAAGAAGCAAAAACTATTGTACGCAATGACACCATGCTTACCAACTCTCCCTAAATCCCAAGTGCACTCATGCTTAAACATAGAAGCCCAAAAACTCTGAAATATAAGATGATCGCCATGACGAAGCCGACCTAGCTGATGATGTCATGCAATATTGAAATCCTTCAACTATTTTTTTAAGAGAATCAAAATAAAGAGATAGTCTTCAGGCATTCCAAGAAACTCTGGCCGATAGTATATGTTTTGATTCTTCAAATTAGAAACATTAGCCGATAGGCTATCTTGATTCTTCATATCTCAGGAAATCCTTTTGACTCAGGATTGTGATTAAATTTGTATCTTCTTTGTGATTACTCTCCAAGTCAGGCACTTTATACTGTTGAAACCTCAAAGGGCTTAGCATTTAACAATTTTTAAACACTCGTGAGTGGCTGATGTGTTTTGGAAGTAAAAATAGCAAGTTAACAAGTAGAAAATTATAGGAATTTGAAGATAGGGGCTGATTTTTTTAATACTTAAACATTAATGAAAGATACAATTAATCTACTATTCGAGAGGTAGATTGGCTCTTTCACGAACCCTATACACTATTAGGAACTCACCAAGAGAAAATCTACATCATATATAAATTGCATGAACCCATAATAACAGCATAATTATTCCTAAATAGACTCCCCTAATTCCCTTCAAAATCATCCTACTTTCCCCAAATGATTCCCTCTCCAATTTGAATTCAATCTAGATCTCTTGCCATAAATAATTCCCTCCAATTTTAATTAAAACGTTCCTAAATATCTCTCCCTCTATTTCTCCTCCTTCAATATTGAATTACAGCTCTCATGGGCCCCACAAGAGGAGCTGAAATATCTGTTAGGTCGGCCCAGGAGGGGCCGGCTGGACCGGTCCTCATTTACACCAGGTGGAGCCAGCGAACATAATGGGGAAGCCCATGTGGGCCCCAAATTGGCATTAAACACAATTTTGAGTGGGAAATTTTGAATTAGAAGGGTGTTTAGGGAATTTGTATCTCTTTTTTGGTCTTAATTAGTGGCTAATGCTTGATTTAGGTTTTCATCTTGAGATTTGCTGATTTTGGAGATCTCCTCTTGGTTTTGAGCTCCAGGCTTTACTAGAGAGTTTTGGAGAGTTGTTCTTCCTCTTGAATTGAAGAACATTGTATCTTTTTTGTTTTAAATCATTTACTACTGGAATACAAGTTGTTTCCTTCAAATATCTCTTTGTTTTGCTGTGTTGGATGTTGTCCACTGTTGAAAATAACAGTTTTCTTGCTGTTTTCCCCACCGATTTCGATTAGGTTTCCTTGCGAACTCAAGTATTCCTTAGGGTTACTTGCGAACTCAAGTACTTCCTATCAATATCCTCCTTGTTCCCGCCTAGCTTTTCTGTTGGGTTCAGTTCTTCTAAATCAGGCGGATTTGCTCCCGCTTGTAGAGGGGGTTGACGTAACAGAGACTTATGAAGCACATATGATATTTGTTTGATCATCTCTTTTAGTCTTCTCACTTCTCAT